CAGGAATGAGTCAGGAGTTAGGCAAGTGAGCACACTTGCACATCGAAGAGAAATGGTCAGGCATCAGAGGCCTACTTGAACCAACATATATAAACACCAAAGATTCTGAAGCCAGATAGTCCAAAATCCAGGTACTTGGAGAGAAGGAAATTCATAACAACCAAGGGGACAGGACAAGATATGCAGAACAAACATCTCAACTGAGAAATCCTCCGACCCTACCAGACACATTTTACATGTTGCTCTCTGTGGGAGTCAAGCCTAAAGGAGAGTTTGGGCTTTCTGTGTCCTCTCTGCAGAAACCAGGAATTGAATGGGAGAATAACTGTAGAGTAATGGAAGAATTTCATAGCTGTAGAGTAATGGCCAATCCCTAGGAACTTCCTGATAGACATGTGAGACGACAGCTAGAAAGCAAACAGAATAGCTGTGTAAACACATTAGCCTTGGGCCACTAAATTTCAAAAGAAAAAAATCACCCCATTCACAGAAATAGTTTAACAGGTCACTAAGTAATTGGGATTCATAAATATTTTTAGTTATCAAGGGCTACATTGTCTTGAGTATACTCAGTTTTATGAGGCAGTACTTTACAAGTTTTTTTTGTGAAAATAGCTAAAGTGAAAATAATTTTGTCACCTAAAAGGAGCCAGAAACTTTTATTTATTAATAGAATGCAGTCAGCTCTCTCCATGGGGAATTGGTTCCAGGACCACCTTCTCCACAGATACCAAAATCCATGGACGCTCAGGGCCCAGATGTTAAATGCTGTATTTATTTGCACATAACCTAGTCATACCCTTCCGTATGCTCTGTCTTCTCTGGATTGTTTATAATACCTAATAAATGTAAATGCTATGTGAACAGTACGAAAAGAAGAAAGGACTGCACAGGTTCAGTACAGCTACAACCGTCATAGGCCAAACCACATGGTGTACACATAGCACATGCCATCAGCTGAGGAGCATTTCCGATCTGTGGGTGGTTGACTCCACAGATACGCAGCCCACAGATACAGAGCCGACTGTAAACACACTTAGAACAAATACCTCATTTCATGATAAGGCCATGCAGACACTACTGTAATTTATAATTATTGTTTTTACTTGTAGATTCACCTAGGTCATATGGGTTGGTATGCTATATGTTGAACAATATTTTTCAAATGTATTTTTCACCATTTGTAATAAATTTTAAATAAGCTTGAACTTAGAAGATGACTTATTGTAATTTTGTAATTTGACATATATGTTAAAATTTTTAACACTTGGATTTTCTGAATTGTAAAAAATGGTTGGAAAGAACTGTATGCAATTCATTTTATTATGTAAATTGGGGGAAACATAAATTTTAGATCTATTTGTTTCTTTATTGTAAATCATGCAAAGGATATATGTATATATATATGCATACTTTTTATTAAATCAGGTTGTTTTAGGTGGTTGATGGTATTTACTGCACATATTTTATATCGTGGCTTTTCTCTGTCTGTAATCTAAACACATTTTTTTGGAGGGAGGATGAGAAAGGGAAACCACTTTTCAGCACTTCCCCCTTATCTGAAGTTTCACTTTCTATGCTTTTAAAAAACTGAAAAATACATGAATACTGAAGATATTTTGAGAGAGAGAAAGAGACCACCTTTACTTAATTTTTACTAATAGTATACTACTTAAACAGTTCTATTTTATGATTATCTATGGAAACTAAGCCTAAGCTTTATAAATTTAACTTTAATTTAGGTATGTATGCATAGGAAATAAAGAAAAACAGAAAGGAGTCAGATGAAATCAGTAAGGAAGTTGGTACTATTACAACCGATATATCAAAAGTACAAAAATGATGAGCGAATACTATGAGCTAACACGCTGGGAAACCTAGATGAGAGGGTTGGATTTCTAGACATGCACAAGTTACCCAGGTAGAATCAGGATGAAATAGTAAGCACGAACAGACCAGCATCAAGTGATGAGATCCTGTCAACGATAGTGTCAAACGAAGAAAAGTGCAGGTCCAGAAGGCTTCACTTCTGAAGTCTAGAAACTTTCAAAGAAGAGCTAACTCCAATTCTTACACTATTCCCAAAGATTCAAAAGGAAGGAGTCCTCCAAACTTACTCTATGAAGCCTCCATCATCTTGACACCAAAAATAGACAAGGGCATAACAACACGAAAGACTACAGGCCAGTGTTGCTGATGAGTATGATGCAAACATTCTCAGTAAGATACTAGCAAACCAAATTCAATAGCGTATTAAGATTATACACCAAGACCACATAGGCCCCAGTAATGCAAGGATGGTTCAACATATGCAAAACATTAAATAGATCACATTATCTGAAAAAAGATTTAAAGAAAATCATATGGTCAATCTAGGGCTGCAGAGAAAAAATCTGATAAAATGCAATATCCATTTATGATCAAGACTTTCAGTAAAATAGGGGTAGAGGGGACATTCCTCAACACAAGACCATTTTCTGATAGACTTATTGCTAACATTATGGTGAATAGGGAAAAGCTGAAGACCTTCCCGCTAGAAATGGAACAAGACAAGGCTGTCTACTTTCTCCACTCCTTTTCAACATAGTGCTGGAAGTGCTAGCCAATGCAATCAGATGGAGCATAATAAAAGGCCTTCAGATAGGAAAAGAAGTTAATCTATAATAAACTCATTTTTTTTTTTAGAGGTTTTTGCTATAGGGCGCGTGCGCTCGCCAGACAGACAGAGAGAGACAGAGACAGAATGCGAGAAATCATCCCCTAGCGGGGATGGTCACGCTGCAATCCCTTCTCCTCCATTCTCCTCTTGGGATCTTGGGCACGCACGCACACGCGCCCGGCGTGAGTTCTAAACCACTGGGTCCGGGACGCGAACCACGGTTGACTATGTGGAAATCCAGTGACATAGCCATTACGCTAACTGCTGGTTCCCATAAACTCATTTTTTTTTTTTTTTAGAGAGATTTTTTTGCTGTAGGGTGTGCCTGCTTTCTGGAGAGACAGAGACAGAGGCATAAAGCAAAAAATCACCCCCTGGAATGATGGCCACACTACAATTCCTTCTCTATTCTCTTGGCATTCGGGGCAAGCATGCATTTGTGCCTAGCATGGTTTTACTTTTATTTCTATTTTTTTTTTTGGAAAGTTTTTTTATTATTTTTTTTTTTTTGCTATAGGTTGCGTGCGCTCGCCAGACAGAGGATGCTCCCATCCATGATAAATCTTTCAGGAGGATAAGGCAAATGAAAAACCAGCAGTTTGTTGTTGGAGGAGGCTGACTTGATTTGGACTGAAACATCCATGGACGTTTTCTCAAATACCAGCAATCTTGGTGGCCGCTCTTGCAGCTGCCCTGAGGCTGGGATGCTGGGTAAAATATGCAATACCACTAGCAAGAAATTTAACAAGGATAGCTGCTCTCCTTCAGGGAAGATAAGAACTTGAAGTTTGCAACAATATTCTTTTACAGTGTCTGAATTTCAGCAAAAAATTATAAAGTATATGGCCCAGCCCTGTAGCATAGCAGGTTAACTACAGTGCTGGAAGCCATGCGGCCAGCCCCAGGTTTAGATATCCAGGTCAGCCTGAAAACGTGCTGGGTGGATGCATGCCCATGATCATGATAACCTGGAGGGCTGGAGAAAGAGGACGGTGGTATAATGAGAACCTGCTGTAGGTGCTTCTGCCTCTTGTGTGTATGTTTGTGCACACATGGTCTCTATCATGGAGAAATCAAATAAATTTTAAAAAATGAAGTCTGTAAAGAAGGAAATACTTATTACCCATTTTCAAGGAACGTAGTCAATAGAACCTGTTTGGGGGCAATTGTTCGCTTTAGCAGGCAAAGACTACAACACACCTACTAGAAATATGTTCCAATAACTAAAGAAAACCATGTTGAAAGAATTAGATGAGAGTATGATCAAAATAACCCACTAAAGAGAAAACATGAATAAAAAATTATAGAAAGTAAAAGGAAATTTGGAATTGAAAAGTATAATAACTGAAAAAATTCACTAGGAGAAACATCAGATTAGAATTACAGATTATTTTATCAGCAACTTTGAAGAGCTCTCAATAAAAATTATCCTGATGATTAGAATGAGAACACTCAGTAAAAATAAGACCCTTAGTGAGTGTAGGGCATCACCAAGTGTATTGGTATATAAGGAAATGGGGATCATAGAAGGAAAGAAAGGCAGGAGAACATTTGAAGAAATAATG